CAGCAGAAATTCGATCGTGTGGCAGGGCACAATTTATCGTGTGCAATTTGTTAAATCAAGTTGCAGGCGGACATGGTCAAACAAACCGAATTCTCGACAGTTGGAGCACTCGATCCAACTTTATATAGAGGAGAGCGCGAGTCCGGCGGAAGTTTGGCGATGTTAACCGATTCTTTTTGCCATCTCGGCGCGTTACGAATTGTCGCACGACCCTCCCGCGTCGTCGGGGATGTTGTCTCTGGACGAGACTTTGGTATCACGCATCGTTTGGATTTCACAATTAAAAGAGGAATAACGCAAAGAGTCGAGGAGAGGAGCGCAGCTTCTGTGAATTACAGCGAATAAGATTTCGCAATGCATCGCGTCAAATTTTTTGAGAGACGACAAATCATTCATTAATCTCCCGCTATTCGGATCTGATCGCAACAATAGAAAAAATATCCCAAATAGAAATTAACAGGGCTTTGGTAAGGACCTGATTACTTTTCTCCAACACTAATCGGGCTCTAGTAGGGATAGAAAGACAAGGACCCTACAAGATGTGTAACAAATGATTTAACGGGTTCTTATGAGGCAATATTATAAGGGCCTTGTAAGGCAATATCAACAGGATCTTACAAGACAATATTAATAGGGCCTTGTAAGGAAATATTTTTATTATTACTTGAGTAAAAATATTCGTCCTTTTCATTCCAAGAAATTTAGACTGTAATTTCTTTATTTCTTTATAACTTTGTTAGTATACAACAAGAATTGTTTATTTTACAAATACAGCATATTTTACAATAAAATATAGCATTCTTTGCATAAAAATAAAAATGCTGCTATTGTTTTCACTAAATTTTGCTGCATTTCAAAACGAAGGCAATACTAGAAAAATCCTTGGAAGAGACTAATGAATATGGCAACTAATAAAACTAATAAAATTTATTTTTAATTGCGATATAATTAAGAAATCTTTAAAAGAATCAGATAAAGCGTACCTACTAAAACAATACTAAACTATGACAATTTTATTACACGCTTCAAATCTTATTAATTTTCTATAACAAAATTTGATTTTGTATATCTAAAGCATCCTTAAAAAATATCTTTCTAAGGCCCACATCAGTTTTCCATGTTAAAGCGTTATTTCGTAAAATCTAAGCCTAAGGCATCCTAATAAACGCTTCTAAGACCTTTCTCAATTTTCCCTATCAAAGCCTTATTTATTAAATCTAAGACATCCCTAAAAATCGTCCGAAGGCCCTTCTCAGCTTTCCCTACCAAAGCCTTATTTATTAAATCTAAGGTATCCCTAAAAAATCCATCTCGGGGCCTGATATGGTAATAATGAGGCATCACTTTTTAGGGCATCCTACATCCAGCCTTATCGGGGTCTTATGGTCTAGCAATTTTTTGCTCAGGATGGCGCGACGGTTTTAATTCCTAAATTAACAAACAATTGCAAACCTCGATCGTGGTAGAAGAATGGCGGCATATAGAGAGAGACTGACCTCTCTTCCGGCGTGTACCTCAGAGACAAGGCTCTTTTACGATTTCCCCCCGACGTCGTAATTCAGTATGACTACAATTAGGGAACAGGAACCTTAATGCGCCGATTAAACGAAGTATCACCTCCGTTAAGCGCGGTTCATACGCCGCATGAATTCTCCCCGGTCCGGACAGGCCTCGACAGCTTGCGGGTTAAGTGGTTGTAATACATTCAGCCGGAATGTGCTCCAACTTTCTACATACACAATGGCCAGTGGTACGAGACGACGTCGGGAGGGGCAGGGCGAGTCGGTTGGCTCAGTTCGCCGCTCTTTCGCTTTCCATGGTTCTATATAAACCGCCCGGCCTGGTGGTGAATGTGTTTGCGTACGCGGAGACCATGGAGTACTCGCGTGGAAGAAGAACGTTTGAAAGGACGAGGAGAGTTGATCTTGACGTTAACTATAGGTCTCCCGGTCCAGACGTTTCGCGGGGGGATTGAAGGAGAATGGCGGCAGAGAGCGAGGGGAGAGGCTCGCGGACGGGGGCGGAAAGCGAGGGTGGAAGAAGGAGACGTGGAGGAAAAGAAGACATACCGACAGCATAGCCAGCGCGAGCCAAGCCAGACTGGACGGCGCTGAGCTCGTCGCCCTCGTCGTAGTAAACAAAGCTGTAACTCTCTTCTCGCACCGAGGAATCAATGCTTCGTACCATGCTCTTGGGGAACAAACTCCTAGAGCAAACCCCTCTCTCTCTCTCTCTCTCTCTCTCTCTCTCTCTCTCTCTCTCTCTCTCTATCTATCTCTCTCTCTCTCTTCCTCTTTCGTCCTCTCTCGCTCTCGCTCTCGCGTTCTCGCGCATCCATCTTAGTTCTCGTGCGGCTTGCATGTTGATGCATTCGAAAGAAAGGACGAGGCGAAAAGATGCTCGCGCGAACTTGCTTTCCAAGTAGCTCTTTGTATCCGCTCGTCTCGAGCACGGGCTTAATGGACTGCCAATTTTGAATCGTCGAATTATCCGAGCGACGTAAGCGACAAAACGAGTAGTTTAGGAACCGCTCTCTCGACGTTGTCGGCTCGCTCGCTATTTTACATCGGCGGTGTCTCACGTCGGCGGTAACCTTCGTGCCGTTTCCTCGGCTTCGTGACGTTTGCGGGATACGACGAGTATCTTCGAAGGAGACACTCGGGGACTGCGCGCAGGGTAATCGGAGGAAATGAGCGCTGTCGCGAATCATATTGGTGTCTCGCTCGATTTTCCGCGCGACGGTGCGCGAGGGGATGGAACGCGCGAAGGTGGTTGGGGATACTTTCCATCCCGCGTGGGCATGGGGTGTCGCGTCTGGCACGACTTATTTTCTCTTGCACCCGGATCTCCTCCGAGAATATTCGAAGGGACGTCACGGAGTCGAAACGAGTCCTCCGGAGAAGTGCCGGAGGAATTACGTCCGAGCGCGCTTAATGCGCTCTATCTCATTCCGTGGTGGAGTATCGTCGACAAAATCTCCGCTGGAGACGAGCGATCGTCGCGAACGGAACGTTGCCTTCGCCAGAGAGCGTTAGCCATTTTTCCTCTTCCCCTCCCCCCGCGACGCCCGTACGGTTCCATCGACGGGGTGATGATTCCATGATTCGCGCATCGCGACGGCGGGCATAACCGCCAACATTGCCGGTAACTGGATAAATGGGGACCGAGATTTCGGTCACGCTCGGAAGACGCGAGGAACGATCGCGATTCTCGTTCCGCAGTCAGGGGCGAATAGTTATGGTCTCGCCGAGAGACTTATGGCCGCAGAGGATCTCATTCGCTTATTGCGTTAGCCGATGTGAGGGTCTCGTTCTCGCAAACGTCGACGGCTTTATTCCGCGGTCTCGATTTCCGGCACGTTTGGAAACATCGAAATGTGTCTCCCCTCCATCTCTCTCTCTCTCTCTCTCTCTCTCTCTCTCTCTCTCTCTCTCTCTCTCTCTCTCTCGCTTCTTGATGCGCCTGTATTATTTCTATTAGAAAGCTGGTGTAACGTGATTGCGGATTACGGCTGCTGCTTTTCCGCGCGAACCGTCCTCTTCTGGTTTGATCGCGCACACTTCCGGCAGCATCGCGCGCGGGTTAGCGACTCGCGACGCCGAGAGTTATCACGATGGCGCAATACGGCTTGTCCGTACAACAGTGCATTTGCACATTGTGAAAAGGAGCGGCTGTGTTGAAGTAAATGCAACATTCCTCGTACTTGAGCCCGGGAAAAGAGCTCGCTGCTGCTGCTGCTGCCGTCGCCGCCGCCGCCGCCGCCGCCGCCGCCGCCGCTGCTGCTGCTGCTGCCCTTCTTATTTCTCCAGGGACTTTTCGCAGCGAGCGAATGAGAGATCAGAATTTTTCTTCATTCTTTTCCCTCGTTTCCCTTTGTTGCCTTTCTTCGGCCTTCACTTTCTTCGACGTGAATAGGGAAATCGGCTAAATATCTCAGAGCACTCCCGGACGTTGTCGCGATACTTTCTACTTATCTCAATCTCCCGCCTCTTACCTTCCGCTCCCCCCTCGCCCCTGCCGCGCCCTCTCGGGGAAGAGACAGCGGGAAGCTACATGTTTCTCGACGAGAATAACAATCGACGTCCATCCGACGAGCCACGCAAAGTGATTCTTCAGTAGCGAAGGCCAACCACCATCCGGATTTTCAATAAGTGGTCATTTTGACAAAAGAGATGGTCGCGTTGGGCTCTCCGCGCGCGCGCGCGCGCGGGCTGCGCTTTTTACTTGCACCCGCGTGGCGAACGCGGCGGCGGCATTGTGCACTCTCGCGGACGGGAAACTTTGCTCGTATAAAACATCGGCCGCGCGTATACGCGCCTCGGTTCAAACAGCACGCTGGACATCCGTAAGGAACGTCCTTCGAGTCCCGGAGCGATTTATCCCGTTGCCGAATATCCACAACAATAAGCGAATTTGTAGATCACTCCGTGACTCTTCGGGGTGGTCTCATTGATCGTCCGTCTCGCTCTGGCGCATCTCTCAGCCCCTCACTCTCCTTTCTTTGTATATTGTGATCAAGCATCTCTGTGCGCGTTTCTCTTTTATTTCTCTCGGATTTCACAAGCAGGCACGATGTGCAAAACGTAGCTGATGTAGCCAGGAAAGTAACGACCCTACTTGGGGAGGGAAAAAAAAATGCTAATCAAAAGAGTGTAGAGCAATCTTCCTTCGGGGGAAGAGACTGTCTGGAATCTGCGAAATTAACACCGCGTCTTTGTTCCTCAGCGCGTAAATTCCGCAGCAAGCTCGATGATCCTTTCGAATATGCTCGATGATCTTTTCAATCGTCGGAACACAAGCTTCGATTTATAAGTCCGCATGCAGCAGTTTATCGCGCACGCGAGATGAGCCGCGTCGCGTAAACTCACGTGCGATTGTGATCGATGAGCGGGCAGTTATTATTGCAAGAAAGGACGACAAAACTCGGCGGTGGTTCAATGATCAAGGCGGCAGTGTGAGCTGCGTTTAAGCGATGTAACACGATATTCGTCTCGTTTCAGGTGGCCTGGATGCTTTTCGACAAGAGCGCTATTCTGACGGTACAGAATCATGTTATTACCAGGAACCCCAGGATATCCGTGTCGCACGATAAGCACAGGACCTGGTTCCTACATATCAACGACGTGCACGAGGAGGACAAGGGAAAGTACATGTGCCAGATTAACACTGCCGCCGCCAAAACGCAATATGGCTATCTCCACGTCGTAGGTAAGGCGGCTTCCGCTCGTATTAGGCGCGGTGTGTGTTTCTCTTTTTTTCTTCTTCTTCTTCCCGCGCGTTAAAACTCGATGGCTGCTCTCTCGGCGTGTCCCATGCCGAGCGTTATCGCTGTTAATCGACCCGTTCCTGCGTCGTTGTGTCAAATACGGTGTACGTAATTTTGTAGGCGCGCGTCGAGGGACACGTTTTCCGAAATTGCTCGATAATTAATATCTCGCCCCGGGAATAACGAAGGAGGATGTCTGTCGTGGATTAATTCAATCGGATAACGCACTGCACGCGAAAGAAACGGCTGCTTATTAACAGGGGGGAGGGATGTTTCTCCCGTTTCTAAATCGCGAGCAACGCAATTAGCGTAATAAATACATCCTTCGCCTTTAAATGCCGCCTTTAAATTCGCAGTAACGCATCGTGGAATTTATATCCTTCATTCCGTGTCTCATGTCCGCCGGAGGATAAGTTTGAAAACAGGATACCTATATTAATAACGTCCGATTCCGAAGACATAATTCTCCGCGCTGTTTGCCGAATCCCAAGATAAATTGCAACTGCGCAACTTTATTAAAAAGACGTCGGCCCACGACGAACAGTTGTCCCTGGGAGCAAATAATAGAAGGACTCGCGTTCCCCGCGACGAACGGTCGCGCGTTTCACCGCTCATATCTCGGGTCGTGCTCGAGGAAAGAAGGAACCCCGTCCGGCGCATTTAACGTTAATTCCGCGGCGCGCCATTATCCGTGGTGCGGAACACGGCCCGGATCGATTGTTATTTACGATCTTATCGTATCGCACTGTGAGCCCATTAGACGCTACGAATAAATCTCATTTCGCGTAATGGAGTCAGCTTGCCGCCGTTCCTGAGGTCCGCATGAAACGGGGAACATAAGCATTTTATCGCGGCCATCTAAGCAGATTTATACTTGAGAGAGCGAAAGAGTGGCCGCGCCGCCGTCCACATAATCTCTCGCAACGGCAACAGACCTATAATAATTTAATCAGAAGAGAGTATCTAAGACCGGAGGGAAAGAGAGAGAGAGAGAGAGAGAGAGAGAGAGAGAGAGAGAGAGAGAGAGAGAGAGAGAGAGAGAGAGAGAGAGAGAGAGAGAGGCGGTCTCCGCTATACCTTCGCCGGCTGAGAGAACACATTAATATCTCGAGTTTTGACATCTCGACTGTGGCCCCAACGTCAGACCGAGAGCGACGATACAGCGAGGCTGGCGAAGGAGGAGAGGGAGGAGGAGGAGGAGGAGGAGGAGGATGGGGGAGGGCTGCGAGAGGGCGAATGCGTCGGAGGAGTAATCAGAGGGCTAGATTAATTGTTTCCACGGGACTCTTGCCCTCCGTTGCACGAACACACGCAAGACTTCGTCGCGGTACTCTCTCTCCCTCTCGGCACTTCGTGATAATGCCGATGAAGCCGACACAATGGCAATCTGCCATAACTACATCGAGCGTAACAAGCTCCGCCGATGCATTTAGGTATTATCTGTCTCCACATTCACCTCCGTCACGCGTACGCGAGCGAGGGATAATCGCGTGATTTATTCCGCGGGAGAGATCAGGGCCGATTAAACGAGATCGGGGAGGATCGCGAGAGGAACGAAGAAACGCGCGCGGCCGCTTCGTCAAGTTCCTCGGGAATTGTGCGACACGACACACCGAGCGTCTCTTTCATTCTCTCTCTCTCTCTCTCTCTCTCTCTCTCTCTCTCTCTCTCTCTCTCTCTCTCTCGCTCTCTCTCTCTCTCTCCCCCTCTCTCTCTCTCTCTCTCTCTCTCGTATCTCGCTCACCCCCGGCCCGTGGACGCTGCCGATGGGGTAGCTTTACATTGATTGTAACACGGGACAATGGTAACGTTTCGCGATAATTGAAGCCATTGACGGTTATGTACACGGAAAGGAGGCGAAAACAAGCTGGCGCGACAAATGTAATTTTGATGGATATTTAGGCGCACACGCGAGCGTCGCGAATTACCGTAAGTGGGATTGCTCAAAGAAAAAGACACCACCTGTTGATCGCGCTGAAATGTACGTTGCATTTTAATCTCGCTCGATGTGTGCGCCCGCCAAATGAAATTACTCCGCGCTATCAATAAACGCGCGCCAACTATGGCGTGACGTATATCGTGGCGCATTGTTAGAATGAGATATGAGCCGGATGTTAGATACCCGAAGGCTGCGCTGTAATTAGCGCTCTGCGGTTTACTGTTACTTCATTCGGACAAAACTCAATAGTCATTCGGGCGCGCGTCCCCCCTCCTCCGAACGCTAACCGAGATATCACGCCGGGACGAAAGGAGGATTTTCGAACGGTCACGTTTGCGATATTTCGTAATCTCATCGTGATCGTGCGAGACGACAATCGCGATTGCAGCGCGATTCTTCGCCGCTAAAGCCCGCGCTGCAGCTGGAAACCGACGCAAACTTGTGTTTATAATATTTCCGTCGGACTCGAGGCCGTCGGAAGTGTAGCCGAAGAGTCGTAACGACCTCTACGACGCGACCTCCTGTATACAGAGCGCAACCGCTGTCAAAATAAGTTTACCGACATATTACGGGAGTCGTTGAGAGTCATCCGAGCCTTAAAACGCTCGGAGATCTCGTTAAATGTACAATCTCCGACATCAACTCTTTCTCTCTCTCTTTCTCTCTCTCTCTCTCTCTCTCTCTCTCTCTCTCTCTCTCTCTCTCTCTCTCTCTCTCTCTCTCTCTCTCTCTCTCTCGGGGCAGCGGTTCTCTCCATAAAAGCGTTTCCTCCCGCGTTTTCGACTGACTTTCTTCCTCATTATTTTCCCTCTTATCTCCCCGCCGAAGAGAGTCGCGCTAGCTTTCCGGTCGTATCCGCTAATTACGGGATGTCGCGAGCGCACATACGCGCACTCTCGCCCGTCGTCGGGCGGAATCGCCTCGCAATCCTCAGGCTTCTCTCCAGAGTTCCACAGTTATCGATTTTATTGCACGGTAACTGCGTGCGCGGTAACGCTGGAACAAGCGTTTCATCTCAAATTTGACACCACTCGGGAGAAGCGGAAAAATCGAGCGAGCGCTACCTTCGGCCGCTCTCGCCGAAAGGGCGCCGATGTTTTCCTTTGACCGTAGAGGAAATGAGAAAACTGAGGCTGGCGTGATGAGCGAACGGGCAACCCTCCTCAGAATTTTTAATATTTCAACATCCCTCTCTCCATCTACCTCTATCCATCTCTCTGTCTCACCATCGATACGCGATGCAACGGCGATAATGTATATTTTTGCGCAGCGCTATAAGAATATCGGGATACAGTTACCGCGTTTGGTTTACTTCTCCCCCCTGCCCCCGAAGCACCGGCGACTGGCTGAGCATCGGTGAGCGGAGGCTTCTCCGACGTCTCTCGAACGTCGTTGTGCTGGCGGGAGTTTAGGACAAGTTAACGCACAACAACAGCGCGGCAACACGCGCGGCAGGGGTGGCGTTTGCGCTTGAATAATGCATCAACAGACCGTTACGCGGCTGCAGTATAACGGCGTGCAGGATGGCGAGAGAGCGAGAGAGCGAGAGAGAGAGAGAGAGAGAGAGAGGGGGGGGAGGGAGGGAAGGAGAGAGAAAGAGAGATAGAGAGAGAGGGAGAGGGAGCCGCCTCCGCGCCGTTCAATCTGCCCTTGTTCAACAATTCGGTAACACCCCGCATTAGCATTAATGCAGGATATCGGCGGACACCTGCGGTAATTCATAGGATTGGCCGCGTTCTCCCTTGTACGCGCGCCGGCCGGCCGCCCGGCTGTTGACGGACAAAAAAGGCGGATTTTCTTCCCGTTGAATAACGCGCGGCGAGATCGAACGGGCCGACGATCGCGCGGCCGTCGGCTCGGCTGAGTCAACCCCGCTCGGAGTGATTGGCTGCGGAGGAATTAATCATTTCTCGCCCTTCGGCGGCGACGGCGGCGGCGGCGGCGTCGTGGAATGAATCTTGCGGGCAGCGAGAGGGGAAGAAAGAGCAAGGAAGAAATAAAAAAGAAAAGAGTCAGAAGAGATGCTCTCTCGCGGGGGAGGGGGACCTGCGACGATTGTTAATCGGTCTAGTTGGCGCAAAGTGCGTTTCGCACGAACGATCGTAAATGATACGGCAACAATAGAGCGAGGAATAAAACGCGGCCCTAAGTATCGAGTGGTGTGCGAAATTGCGCGGCGCAAATGGCGCGGAGAAACTGAATACGCAGCGAAGTTTATACTCGGAATGAACATGTAGAACAGCTCTCTTCATACGCGCTGCGTGTTGCTAAACGAACCGTTCAAAGTGGTCACTGTTGTTTCGGTGCGTGCAGTTTATTCGCAAGTACTTAAACGAGCTCTGCATTTGCCTAAAACAAGGGAAAAAGGAAAAAACGATGTATTTCCTCTTTCTTTCTCCTCTTCTCTCTTCTCTTTCTTCTCCTCGTTATGATTCCGCGCGTACCAACGATCGCTGCGTTTCCAAAGTTGGATGAGAGAGAGAGAGAGAGAGAGAGAGAGAGAGAGAGAGAGAACTTCTTCTTTGGTATCCCACATTTTTCATATTTAGAGTGTGAACCGTATTCTGCACGATCTCAGTCTTACATCAAAGACTGCCCGTTTTAATCCATTTATTGAAAAGCAAGCATTAATGGGGCACGTTGTGATTAGTTTAACGATGCGTCGTAGTAAGTTAATAATTAATTATTGCATGCCATTAATGGACAATGCTTTTGTTTTAGAAATTGATATAATCAGTATAATTGCGGTAAATTTGTTTTCCGATACCACGATCGAAACAAATTAAACGTACAATTCAATTATACGTACAGCATGCATGACAAATAATTCACGCAGCATCGTGGCCATAAACGTTTTACAGCAAAATATTTTCACTGGCAATTTGCGGGAGACTAATTAATAAATTAGGCAGCCCAACTAAGGGCGACACGCTAAACGACAACGTAAATTAAAGCAGTCCTTATGAACACTAAAATGCAATTCACTATTCCACTGCAACAAATGGAAAATACATTCCCTACAAAGTCGGAATCGCGCGATTTAACGTCGCATTTATCCTTAGCTATAAAAAAGAGCACGAGCGGTACTTTACCGCTGAATTGATTGATAATTTAGAGGAACAAACTTGTCGAAAATGAAACGGTGTCAGCTTTACAATGCAATTTCTCACACGTCGCTGCGATTCTCCTGGGCGGAGATATCAACGAGCGGCGGACCAATCGATGGGTCCGAGGCCCAACGGCAATCTCACGCGTCACTCCCTTGAATCGAACGCTCGGAAAAGGGAGAGACCGCGAACGCGCTACAATGTGTTACGCGCGTGCCGCCAAAGGACCGCCGACGGTGCGCCACCTTTGAAAATTGAAACACCTTCGAACAATCATATCTCGGCAAAAAGTCGACACATGGATATGAAATAAACGCCATTCTTCTCGCACGCCTTCCCCCTCCCCCCTTGCGTGTTCGCGTGCGTAATTATAAGATACACGCAACGCAGAGTTGGAAGTTATCGTCACATTGAATAAAGTTCGCGCATATTTTGAAAAATTTCCCCCTTCGAGATTTTCGCATCAGAAGCATCGGTGGCGCGAAAATATCAGCTAACCGTGACCCAACGCTAATATGGAAAATCTGTCAGCACATAATGACTCGAGTCACGGGGTAGGTCGTGCAAGCTCATATGAGACGCAACGTCACGTGTGAAAATCAGAGGTGATCTGACTGGAAGATGAACGTCGCTTTTGTAATAGCAATATCTCTCGTCAGCTGTCGATCATGGCACAAACCGGTTACATACGAAGGAAAAGAATAATTTGCGTTTTCGCGTTTGTCGTTTTTCGAAAGCGTCGCGCGATATTCGATCATTTTAAGCGCGTTAGCCGAATCTTGCATTTCCAGACGTCAACGTTGCAGACGACATGTGTCCACATACTAATATTTTCCGTTATCACGACGACGATATAATTGAATTATACGCCTCCCGGTTGGCCGTTTAACTCGAGAGCGGCGACGACGTGGTCAATATGCATAAATGCGAGATGCGTGATATCAGTGTCATGGCGCGAGCTTAATATGGTTATCAATAATGTATTTCAAGCATGGAAAAACGGAAAATATTATCAAACGGATCTCTTTCTTCGTGCATTCACCGCGAGCAAGTTTGCGTGAAAAGCACCTCGCTAGCAAAACGCTCGGATTCATCGTCAAGTCCAAATTGATCCCTCATCTCGCGTGGCTCAACACACTGAGTGTGAAGAGCTCCGTGCGATCTTTCGTAATTCTTGCGTAATAAGCCCCGCGTTTCTTTTTTTGTCCAGTAAATAATAATCAAGCACAACGTGTTGCTCAAGACGAAATCCGACGTATATTATTTATTCAAGTTTATATTTACTTGAAGAGTGTGCCGATGCTATACCGAGCGACGCGCTTCTCATGAGATTCCATAAAGCTGTAAGGATAAGAATGCACCTGAGATGGGAATTAAGGAGCGTTTCAACGGGCGATTGTTGCCTCGCGAGGAAAATGAATTCAGAATTATCCTCCGGACAGAAATTAATCTGTATCTCGCGGAGGTAAAGCCCGCGCGAGTTGTGAATTATTCGCATAGCGCGGATGTGTTAAGATCACTACGTAAGATGTTCCAAATTCCCCGCACCTCTTTCCGCGCCATCCCCGCGATAACTTTCGCTTTTTCACGCTTCCTCACGCGCGCGTCCGGATTAAATTAATCGCAGCCGGCGGATGGGCCCGGCAGCGTTGTTAATTCAAACAAAGGCAAACTAAGAGTGTCGTTTCCCGTTTACAGTGCCACCGAACATTGACGATTCGCAAAGCTCGTCGGACGCGATTGTGCGCGAGGGCGCCAATGTGAGTCTCACCTGTAAAGCGACCGGAAGTCCGACGCCCAGCATTCGTTGGAAGAGAGACGACGGCTCCAAGATCTCGATCAACAAAACTTTGTCCGGTATGTACGCGATGTGATTTTATAGAAACTTTCGGAAGCCTGTTAAACTCCTTAGAAACCCGTTAACCAAACTGTTCACCAAAGTCGACGAGAACTGTCGCGTGTCATGTTTTTCTCTTTTTTTTTTTTTCTTATGATACAAGTCGAGTTTTAAAAGCACACATCAAACGCGCGTGTTGGAGAGTACTGGAGATTAACCAGGCGATCGATTGACCCGCTTGAAGTGTAACAAACGATGCAATTGCAATTTCAGTGCCAGAATGGGAGGGCGAGACACTGGAAATGGCGCGAATCTCGAGATTGGACATGGGCGCATATTTATGCATCGCCAGCAACGGCATACCACCGACGGTTAGCAAGCAGATCAAGGTGTCGGTCGACTGTGAGTACACTCAGTGCGCGTTCCATCTTGAAACGAACGTCGTTCGGCCGGGCTCAAAAGTTCGTTCTCGCGCGATTTGCGACAAAGTCGTAACCGCGCGACTGCCCGCGAAAAACCGAAATAACACGAGAAATGTCCTTATTGTCTCTCGACCTCCCCATTGCGCGGTGCACTAATTATTAGTCGGACACGTTGATTCGATCGGGAGTTGGACCGAACTCAAGGCCGAGTTTTCACCCTCCTGGACGGTGACATGGCGGCCACATCCGCTTAAAAGTCAGCGACGGCTCCGAAAAGAAATCGCATAACCGGATTTCGGACAACTAGATTCCTCGTAAGAGCAGAAGTACCTGCCGACAAATAAAGTATAGGCTGCCCCGCTGCCACCGCCGCTGCTGTAAGGCAGCCTCTAAGTAGCGACCGCGGCGTCATAATACGCCCCGCCTCGGAAAAGGGTTCAACACATACGATTTAATAACATAGAAGGGAGAGACCGGCGACAAAGCGGAGCTTTACCGAGTCTTACTCGCTTCTCTTTTACCTCTAGGCTGCTTGCCGGTCTGCTAAAAAAGCGCGCGACCGAGCGAGAGAGACGGAATAGTGCGTGAAGGGGTGATGGGGCTGCGCGGCGGGGGAGGGCGGGAGGGGTGCATGCGGGTGCAGTGGCAGAGATAAAGACGGAGAGACAGGCGACGGGAGATGGTAGCGAGAGAGGCGTTGAAAGTCACAACCGTGTGTGAATGCGCGTGTGAGAGGAACAACGGCGGCGCGAGAGGGAGGGCGGGAGGAGATGGAAGAGAGAAAGAGAGAGAGAGAGAGAGAGAGAGAGAAAGAGAGAGGGAGGGAGGGAGGGAGTGCGAGAGCGAGAGACGATAGAAAGGGAGACGACGGCGGAGGTTCCCTGGCGAGACATAAAAGTAAGCTCGGGCGAACCGCGACACACCATTACCGTTTCCACCCCTGTACTTGCCTATTGTTACGTTACTGCCTCTCCTAAATACCGGGCACGTGCCTTTCCTCCTCGTGGCTCCTTTATGACATGTTCCCTCACCGCGACACTCGTTTTGCCTCTGTTTCCGTATCCGGTAGGATCATTCGTGTACTTAGCGGTGCATATTGAAGCGTGTATCGCCCTCTCTCTCTCTCTCTCTCTCTCTCTCTCTCTCTTTGCACGTCGTCGTTCTTCTCCCTCGCACTCGCACGCCACTCGGCCTCCCCCGCTCCTCGCGCCCGCCTTTTGACGCCCGTCCGGCGAATTTATTACGGATACCGAGAGTCATCGACTCCCGAGTTTCGATCCCTTTCTGTTCCCCTTTTCTTCTTTTTTTTCTTCTGCCTCGCGTAACGCGAGGCATATTATGATATCCGTTGAAGATAAGACGATCATAGTCTCTCGTACTGTATTGCTCTCTCCGCTACCTTTGAGAGAGAGAGAAAGAGAGAGAGAGAGAGAGAGAGAGAGAGAGAGAGAGAGAGAGAGAGCTACGTGATATTTAATTATTAATTATCCGTAAAGTAAAATTGCATCCGCCTTTTAAGTCGGCTACAAAGAGATGATGCGGAACAAGGGAAGCGGAAGTTTGTCGAAGCTTATGCAAAACATAATCTGCGTATTCTTAAGACGAGGCTCCCTTGAGTTTCCACGTAAGAGTCGAGGCAATTCGACGCGAAAACAGAATAACGCGGAATAATACGTCAGTGGCTAAGCCGAGACCAATTTCAGTTTGATTTAACAACGCGAGACGGACATACGTTATGCTTACGATTCGAACACACGACGTTCTTGGAAAAGCGACGAGAGGGAAGAGCGCGTCCGTGTGTCCGCTGTGTGATGCTAATTTCGAATACACGCCGCGCACAGGGAGAGTCGATTCGCTCCAAATTTTATTCGGAGCGATAAATTACAGATATAAAATGATAATGCAATAAACTGAGTATACATTACTTAAATATTTATTCGCATTAAAGATGTTATTGATAAATGAGTTTTCAATGATTTTCCGCGAATATATAATATGCATTTAATCCGTAGAAGCGAGAAAAATATATACCAACGAAAATTTATTCAAATTTGCATTTTAATATAAATTCATTCGAATAATGCGGCCCGACCCTGATGCTACGGATTATCCTTTTAGACGTCCTCTAATTCCATCTGTGACCGCGTAACTGGCAACGGCTTTTGTCAACGAGTATTAACGCGCTTGGGCTCTTCCGAAGTTTAATTACAATCGAGTAATGCAACGGTCTTATTCATGATAGAGCCTCAGAGCCGTCGCCTCGGCGAGGGGAGTCATATAAGAAATTAGCGGAAACCGCCCCGCTCGCCTCGGCGCGCGGTGCGCTTTGTCAATTTTCCCTTCTTGACGCATTGTATTTTCGTGAAAAGGTAAACCTAATAACCGGGGATAAATTTGTATTGCCGGAATATTGAAAACGATGAGATGGCGCGGCACTCCACTTCTACGAGCTCGCGCTTATAAATCGAGAGAGATCGAAAAATTACTCGTTTATTTCGTTATTTGTGAAAACAGATATGCCGAATACAATATTATTAGCGGAGAATCCACTTTCGAAATAGATACAAAACTGAAAATGAAAACTGTGAGAAAATAACACGCGCACAAACATTTCACCGGTTTCCTCACAACCGGAACTCGAGACGCGAGGTTCGTCCACTTCCGTCATCTCTTGCGAGCACGGGACGCTCATGTCGTCGAACTGAGTTTACGAACACTCAGAAAGATACTTTCCTTATCATATTATCGAAATATCAAACCGCGACTCTCTCTTCTCTCTTCGTTCGTACTGATGCACTGCATCGACGTAAGTGACCTGAATAAAATAATACATATGTCTCTTGCAAATTTTGTACTAATTGGATCGCAAAGAGGTAGGTGTGCGCGACCTTTCCGCATAATGTAATCGCGCGCAATCAATGAGAAGCTAAAGCCACGACTTGTTTGCATATCGGTTGGATACGAACAAAACGCGTCACGTCGTGCTGTGTGTCGTAACGTGTCCTCGAAATACCGTATTATTTTCTAGTCCATTTTAACGTCCAATGAAATCACGATAGCCTCTTAAGAAACGATCGGCCAGATAATGCCTCGGATGATGGTCGTTAGATAAGCAGAGCGGCAAATTCCTAAATAAAAGAAGGTGATGAGAATACAAGCGACGTGGCAGCCGCGGCAGGGCAGCGTAGCATTTCGCGCGTTTTTACGCGCTCCGGCGAAGATTAATTAAATTGTTGGACAGATTACAACCATCTAGTGGCGAGCCTTGGTCTGACGGTATTACAAGTTTGCAAGCTGAAAAACTGTTATACACGCGAGAGCCTCCCTTGTTGTTGCCGCTACCACTGTTTTATTTCTCATATCTCTGCACATCGTACGCTGCGAACGTCTCGTAAAATATTTCCATCCTCGGATGCGCGGTGCGAGCCGATACGATCACAATGTCGCGTTTACGGCGATGCGTTTGTTTGTAATTTCGCGATTGGATCGTCAAGACAGTTAACGGAGCACAGAGCAAACGCCGCGCCGTATCGTCGGCATGATTATTATTAATATTCGCCAAGTTGATGGCACACGGAGGAACATATATTTATGTTTAGATGTTCACGCAGGTGAATTATGCTTGTACAATTGCGAAATTATAACAAGCTCCGCGCAAACGATGTTGCATTTTGATTTTTACCTTCCGTTTTTATGATAAGTCCAATTAAAAAATTTCTGCTATGTAATCCCGAAACCTTCCATCGCCCGCTGCGAAAATATAATTGCATGTACCGCGCTTTTCTTTTTCGCCGCCAACAGTTCCGACTTCAATCGTTCCTTTCTGATTATTATGCGGGGCACATTTATTATGCGTGCGCGTTTTATAATTTTCGAGAACGGCGCACGCATCTCGTCAAAGAATGCTGTTCTCTACAGAATGGCGCCTCTCTGAAGAATATAATTTTTGACTCATTAGTTAAAGCAAATTTAGGACGATAAAGTCGCCGTTTCCGACTCGGACAGACGGACTTGTTGATGAAGGAGAGAAAACCGAAATTACGCGTGGCACGTTCCGCGCGAATCTCCATCGAGAAACACGAGTGTATAAACTAGAATTTTTGAGTAAAGTCCCAGCGAAAGAGGCAGTGGTAGCCTCTGTGATTCTCATAAAATTTGGAGAAAATGCCGCAGATAATCCGCGCCAAACATGCCTTGGACAACTTTGAGAACGCGAGTGGGATCAAGTGCAAATAATTTCCAAGCGTACGACGCGCTCTCTCGAAGGGAACAAAATAAGTATAAAAAAGTATAATAAGTAAAATAATAATAAATTATACGAAACAATCTGGCAGGCATCCCGGTAGTAATTATACTTTCATAAGCTTTCGTTTCATTAAGTAAATGAATGTAACATGTACCGAAATTGAAAAGGGCAAGAAAATAAAAATGAAATAAGCACCGAAGACGGGTATAGGAGGTCGGCGCAAACACAAAATAAAACGAGAAAGTAATTTTAATTAAAGAGTATTATTTGTTTCTAATGCAACATATTCTACGCGCCGGCCGAGCTAGCCGGAAAAGCCACTTTCGACGACATTTCGCATACGCGTGTGTGTACACACGCAGAAGCAGGTAACATTTCAAATAAAATACGATTGATTTTGAAGGGTGCACATATCGCTCGTATCAAATGCAAGAGTAGACGCACATCAATGAAATATACGCACGTTTGGAACTCGAGTGTCCATGCACGTGCATTCGTATGTGCGCCCGTTAAATTCGACGTTACATCCTTTGCCGCCAAGTAATACGCAGCCGTTATAATCGCGGCGGGCGGCGGGGGTGAACGACGAGATCAATTTATACAGAACGTCGGGCGCGCAATTCGTCACAGACCGCGCCAATTTTATTTATCACTCTTAAGTCGGCGAGGATGCCTTCGGACGGCAGCGGCGGAAGGCGAAATGAGGTTGCAGGTCACGGAAAGAATCGTTTTAA